AAATCAAAGAAATCACGTTAAAAAAGATTGGCTATCAAGCTAAGTCGGAAGTGCAGAACTCGCTAGGGCATTATACACATTTCTCAGGGTAGAAACCACGCTTACGAACATGCACACTTAGATTCTATGCCTGCAAAAATGCGCGAACAAAATTATTTGGTGAAACATTTCATATCCCCATGGACAGCATGCGGACACACTGAAATTAACCTCAGTGGCACGAAAATATACGGCGAAAGCAAGTCTTCTCTTTAGCTGCACTGCAATACGTACATCCTTCCACATGTAACTAATTTAAAACAAACCGCTGCACCATTGCCCTTGCATAGCTCCCTACGCTAGAGTGCAGACGCTGCACCACATCTGTCCCTGCTTTGTCCTGAAAAAATTGCAAAAGTTTACACCCTAGCCTGTTAGTTGACACCAACATTAACCTATAGCAACACACTAAAAATCCACAAAAAAGAAAAATAAATACTTTTTCTCCGCTACAGTCTTCTACAACAGGCTTTTATTGAACTATTTTGTTTCAACATGTCGCGATTGAGCTATTTGGTAGTTTCTGCACCTTCAGATATCATGCTGCACTTTTATCAATAAATTTTCTCTCACTTCAGTACGAAAAGATGATAATTGGTGATGTGAGAATGTCGCTGGTTCCGGGGAACGTCGGGAACAAATCTTCGTGCATACCTGGAATCAAACCAACATCCAACATCACTGAAACAACCACTGGGAATTCCGCCGTGAAATCTGAGACGCACGAGAAGAACGCCAAGTCCCGTGATGTTACTCAAAACCGTGTTCGGGCTGATAACCTTTTCTCTTGTCTGCTCTTAGCATTGTGGTGGAACTGTCTTTGTCGTTAGATGTGACCTTCTCCTCTCAGTGGGATCACCTTTCTTTCTCCAACTCGACAAGTGGAATTAGATTTATCGGAACATCAAATCTGCAGTACAATAATCTTCACTTTATCACATAATTTGTAGGTTTTTATAATTCCTCTTTCATCGTATTTATTTCTGTTTAATCCATTAAAACACACGCTTATTTAGAACTTTATATAGCAGATTGTAAATTTACTTTTCCTTTAATGACAAAGTTATACCATATCCACAACTGGTCACAAAAACTTAAAAGTACCATTCATGATCTGCCTTTGCGTTTGAAGCTCCTAGTTTAAGTTTGAGACAGATGAGGGTAAATTTAGAACTTAATATGTCTTAAGCAGGTTGTAGGGAACCATTGATAGCAGTTACTATTTGAATGTGATCTGAATATTTATTCAGACAAGTTTATTTGAAATGTATCTTTAATTATTAACCTTTGACATAGTCAGATGTGAATGTGTTGGGTTGCATGAAGCATTGATAGAAGTGATAGTTTAAATGTGATTTGAATATTAATCCAGATAAATTAATTTGAAATGTATCTTTAATTATTAACCTTTGATATAGTCAGATGTATATGTTTCGGGTTGCATGAACCATTGATAAAAGTGATAGTTTAAATGTGATTTGAATATTAATCCAGATAAATTAATTTGAAATGTATCTTTAATTAAACTTTGATATAGTCAGATGTATATGTGGCCGATTGCATGAACCATTGATAGAAGTGATAGTTTAAATGTGATCCGAATATTAATCCAGATAAGTTAATATGAAATGTATCTTTAATTAACCTTTTATATAGTCAGATGTATATGTGGCGGGTTGCATGAACCATTCATAGAAGTGATTGTTTGAATGTGATTTGCATATTTATTCAGACATGTTCATTTTAAATGTATCTTTAATTAAACTTTGATATAGTCAGATGGAAATGTGGCGGGTTGCATGAACCCTTGTTGGTACTTATAGTTTGAATATGATTTGCATATTTCTTCAGACAAGTTTATTTGGAATGCATATATAATTTTAAAAAATGCAAATTAAGTTAAGGGATAAACGAGGTAAGACACAGAGCAAAGGGGGAGATTGATAGGTGCTAGACAGACTGACACGTAGAGGGAGCCTTCTCCGTCCTCTCAAACCTTCTCTCCGACCTCTCATTCCCTCTCTCTTCCCTCTTATACCATCTCTCCGCCGTCTTGTACCTTCTCTTTGCCCTCACATACCATGTCTCAGTCCTCTCACACCCTCTCTCCGTCCTCTCATCCCTCTCTCCGTCCTCTCATCCCTCTCTTCCTCCTCTCATACCCTCTCTCCATCCTCTTATACCTTCTTTCCGTCCTCTCATACCTCTCTTCTTCCTCTCATACCCTCTCTCCATCCTCTTATACCTTCTCTCCGTCCTCTCATACCTCTCTTCCTCCTCTCAAACCTCTCTTCCTCCTCTCATACCCTCTTTCCATCCTCTTATACCTTCTCTCCGATCTCTCATACCTCTCTTCCTCCTCTCATACCCTCTCTCCATCCTCTTATACCTTCTCTCCGATCTCTCATACCTCTCTTCTTCCTCTCATACCCTCTCTCCATCCTCTAATACCCACTCTCCGACCGTTCGTTTCTTCTTTCCGTCCTCTCATACACTCTCTCAATCCTCTTATACCCTCTCTCTCAGTCCTCTCATAGCTTCTCTCCGTCCTCTTATATCCTCTCATCGTCCACTCATTCTGTGCCTCTCTTCGTCCTCTCATACCGTTTCCTGTCCTCGCATACACTCTCTCCGTCCTTTATTTGCTTCTCCTAGACTAGTGACACAGGTTACGTGAAAATATGTAGACTGAATGGTGACAGCCATTTCCCCAGCAGATGTCAAGGCAGTAAACCCCTCCTGGATGTTTATTAAACACACATTGTTTATTCCAAATGCTACTGTACTGCATGACCATATTTTAACTTGAAAATATAGTCAGAATGTCATTTTGATGCCATGGTACATATACATTGAGTATATAGAACGTCAGTGTGAACATCTTTCAAATTCCACCTTGACTGTTTGAATATTTTTTGATTGTTATTGAAATTTTGAGCATCGTTGGATAACCAACTTTTATGACAGGCTGTCGAAGTATATTTTCAACTTTTAAACAACTACTAACTTTCTTAACATCCCGCAATATTTGCACGTTATTATCATTTTAATGTAATTCAATTTCTTTTGCAATGTGGTTATCACAAAAACATGATTTACTTCAACTTTATCTATTAGCTATTGATTCTTTCGAGTTATTTATTTTGGTCCTAATAATCATACCATTAATCGTCTTAAGGTACGTGTCACATTTATTACTAACGACTTTCCTTGGATGTAGAGGTTTTAATATATGATGACAGGTTGAATAATCCACTTGATGCGGCTTTGTGCGAATTTCCGTTAGCGCTGTTTACCAAATGCCGCCACGATAGTTACTTATGACTGTGACATAACATATTAACAAGGCAGAAAGCTGTCAAATGTACAGACAAAAGACAAAAAAATAAAGATGCAGAAAACAGGCCATTTTGTCAATTTTGATACAATAATAAATAATGCTTATAACAGCACAGTCAATGAACACTGAACTTATTTGCAATATTAAACAACATTTACCTGCATAATAATCACTGATTCCTAATCATGTGACACTGTTAATTTAGACTTTTACAAACTGTATCTGGAAGAGAGCTAAACCTATGGGAGTTTAAATTGAAAATCTCAACATGTGTGTTTTATGTAATCTCATTTAATGGCATCTTGAAACTTAATTAGGCAAGTGAATTCATAGCTCTGAACTTAGCTAGGTAATGCCCAAGGGACAATTACAGACTGACCACCATTGTAGCCATATAACACCGAGAACTATGTGAAAAAATTAATATTTCATAAAGAATCGCATTACTTCCAAAACAGAGAGCAATCACACTGATTTTCCCCACACAAGCTGCACTTCAGTCCTATTAATCTTTTTAGCAAGTTTGACATCTTAAGTGACATAGTTTTCCCTTAATGGTCATCATGGCAGCAGTGTCCAAAATAGAATTTTTTTTCAACTTTTATGCAATATTACATAACGCTTAACAGTATTATGACCATCAATTTTTAATAATAAAATAAAAGTTTCATGGATGTTCAGAAAATGTAACTAGCAAGGGTCTTCAAGTCCATGGGGGTTCAAAATCACACCTTGAAAATGCCAATATGTGAAAAATTAAATGTTCACCAAAACCTGTATAACTTCCAGAAAAATCAACCAATCACACTTGTTTTCCCGCTGTATTTAAGTCCTATGTTTCTTTCCTGTAAGTTTGAGAGGAGTTAGTGACATGTTTTTTTTTATAATGCTCACTGCGGCGACAGTGCCCAAAATAGGGTTTTCATCAATTTTGATGCAATACTAACAGTTTAGTCACCACCAATCTTTGTACTGAAGGTAACATGGATATTTAGAAAAAGTGACAAACAAATATCTTCAGGCCCATGAAATTTTTAAGTAACAGCTTAAAAATGCTAATGTGAACACCAGAGATATCGCAACCTGTATTTTTAGAAAGATGATCACTCCAGCGGTTTTCAAGACAATAGGCTGACCGGTTTTCCAGCATATTTTTTGTAACAATGGTCTGATCAAGCTGATTTTCAAACTCGACCTGTATTTTAGTAAGATTGATCACTCCTGTGGATTTCAAGACAATAGACCATTCGGTTTTCCTTTGTGTTATCAGTGTTGCATATGCTGAAACAAAAAAAGAGAAAAAACAGTATCACCTCTGAAAAATGGACCAATCATGCTGATTTTCGAACTCGATCTGGGTATTATGAATATTCATCAATATTCTGTAAGTTTCATGCCAAAAGGTAAAACGTTTTTCCATTTATCGCGTTATCGGTGAAAGTGCACGGCGACGACAGACGCAGGTGACGGCTATATGTACAGAGACATCTGTGTCTGTACATAAAAAGGGGCGCTTTAATGTTGTTATGTTGAATAGCAAATTGTTTAACAATTAAATTTTAAAGACATGTAAAGCATTGAAGTTGAAAATGTGACGTATCGGATTCCTATGCCCTGGAGTGTTGCTACCAATAAAACGTTTGTACAATTATTTGGAAGTTTAATCATTTGGAGGCCGCCATAGAGGAAACATGGGTGCTGTCCATCTCATCCTTGCCGCACTTCTGTTTGTTCTAACATTTTGCCAAACTTCAGCCACGGAGGACGGAGAGAAAGGTAAACAAAAATTAATTAGTCGTACTTCTGTTTATTATATTCATTTCTTGGTTGTTTATTTTTGTCATCATTTAAAGTTTATGTATTCATTTACTTTGTTCATTTACTTGATATTGTCGTTTGTACATTTGTTTTTATATGATTTGATTTGTTTTTATATGATTTGATTTATATGAAATCAAAATGAATTTGTATCCAAATTTGAGCTTGTGAAAATATATTGCGACTTAAATTTTCATTTTGCTCATTGATATATATATATATATATATATATATATATATATATATATATATATATATATATATATATATATATATATATAATTAAAAGTAATTGCCATATTTAACAGACGATCCCCTCAAACTTAAATAACTAAAGTTTGTCTCTAAAATAAAACGAAATACTTTTGACTACTTAAGTACTGCTGAGTCCATCCAACTACCCAGGAGATGTTAAACTTTCTTAGAAGGCTGTGAATACCACAAATCAAAAAGGGCTATGTTGTATTATCAACATAAGACGTGTTTGTTACATGTATACTTAGCGAAGAGTCGTTAATCTGAAAATGCAGTGGATAAGAACTGAACTGATACAACTTACAATTTTTTTTAAAAAATAAGGTTCTAATCCAGTTCCAAATAAGTTGTTTTTAAATATGTTATTGCATTCAAGTTAGTAATATATGCGTTTTTACTTGTTTCATTACTGATTGTGTTGTCATTTCCCAATGACCGAGACAAATATCCTGTCTAGACTCCCTACTGTCAGTGTTGGTTTAGACCAGACAACTTTTACTCGAAGTGAAGCATGGATACCATCATGTTTGTCGTTTCCGGTAGTGATTATCACCTCATAGGCCACTCTGGCACAAACTTGAAAGTTGATGGTAAAAAATAAAACCTTCTCTCACGTGTATCATATAACATAAAACGCAATCATAAAAATTTTAAATAATCAAGCGGCATCATTGCAAAATAAAAAGAAAAAACATCGATATTTTGGATTTTTACTGGGATATGTCCGTCCAAATGAAAGTAATACAATTATATTTCAATCGCACCCGAAAAACATTTCAAGTATTTAATTTCATTATTTTATTAAAAATTGTCAATTCTGAGAAAAAGTCATCATTCTGTTTTGGATGACATTTCTACTTAAACTGTGTTGCAATAAAATTAATAAGTAGACTGTCAGAAGCCATATCCTCAAGACTCCAGGCAGTGTATCCACTGTTCAAGACTCCAGGCAGTGCGACCATGTACTCATACTGGCAAGGTACAGAACAACTCGTATGGCATTGGCAACCCGGCATAGACGCTAGACGCATAAAAATGGCGACTAGCTGCTTAACCCAGTTCAGATTTACAACCCAGAACAGCAATGACAGAACTCGCGTGTACAGACGAGTCCAGATAGACGCGACCTGGAGCGAGCTCGTCAAGTGTGGCGGTGGTAGTGTAATGGTACGTGGTGGGTTTTCATTACACCAACACATTCCCCTTAATGGTAATCTCACCAGATTCTTTTACAGTAATAAGATCCTGCCATTCCTCCGACAGATAGGTCAGGGAGCCATTCTACAAGTTGACAACGCACGTCTTCACCGTCCTCAAAAGTTGCCAGTGATTTTGCAGAGGAACGTCCGCAGAATGGACTGATCACCCTATTCGCCCGATATGCACCCTTATTGGACCACTCAGTGTTATGATTTCAGCAAAATAACTCCGAACCGTAGATCTCAATAAGCTAGCTAGCCCAAGAAGGGAATTCAATTCCATGGCAGTAGCTCCAGACATTCACTACTCAATTGAGAGGCGTTGTGAAGCAAGTGTGGTTTCCAAAGGCGGACACACATGATTCTGAAAAGACTTTTAAGTTCTGAATTTAATTTTTGACCCTCTTTAATTTTAAACCCATTAGCATAATCTAGTTGATAGTAAAGTCCAAACACAATGTACAATTCAGCAGAGGAATGGTTGACAATCTTAATGTTTCTAGTTACTGAATAGTAAACGTTCTTTTTATAACGTCGTTTTTAAAGTGTTCCTTAACTTCTTTTGAGCAGCATGTAAATAGCTTGTTCAAGTGGTGGAGTATAAGTTTACATCATTTTGACAATATAGCACTGATAAATACTGTTGATTCGACTTCAATTCCATATTTTTCCTCCCGCTCTTGGTATTCCGTTCAAATGCCTTATCAGAACTCTCCGATAGGGGTCTCTGTTGTCTGTTACAAACGTAAATGAGACTTTCATTCAGTTTTGCGAAAAGCTACCGGGACTCCTCCCGGAGGAAACCTTATCCACTATTCTGTGTGGGCACTGATGCAGAATACCCCAATATTTTCTAATATTTATCGCTTCGTGTTTTTATTAGTCTGTCGGACATAAACTGTGCAAGACTTGCGTTCCACTGGGATACATGCCCTAGCCGCGAATTACCAAGGTTCGGGTAGGTCATTGCCTCCTGGGATACGCATGCGCCGAGAAATATTTCCCAGGGACCTGATAACATGCATTGCTTTCATACTGTAGCAAATATGTAGTGCCAATAAATCACGAGTACATATATTATTGTGTTGAAAACATAGATGTTTTCTTTTCAGCAGAACTGAATTAATGGGTTTATGTTTTCTGCTATGGACGCCCTCTTGTATTACAAGGTGAATGGGCGTGTTATTGTGAATCCAAAATTCATGATATTCCCTTTGGAGTGACACTTTGAAAAAATAAATCGTTGATTAATTCAACACCAAAGGTGTAAACCAGTGTCACTTTGAGATAGATTAATTCCCTTTTAAACGAGCAATAAATCATCTCAAAAGTCAAGTGTAAGGGGACACTTTCATGCATTGCATAAATGATATTACTTGTGCGGTATGAACTTGAATCACCCGATTTATACTGCCTCCTCTCAATGATCCGTTTGCCCTTTCCAAACACTGATTTGTGGTCTGCGCACTCATCCATTGTTACATTATTTGTTCAATGGAAATTTAATGAAAGGCAGATTAAAAGGTTGGCTGATAACTAATCACTATCTCGCCTTATATAAGGTGACCGTTACGTTAATGCAACGCGGTTTCACATGAGAAAAATATAACCTTGTTTTGTAACACACGGTTCCTAAATGCTACCATAAACTAGTTGTCTACTATTCATCTCATTGTAGCGTACTGTGGCGAACCACCCCAAGTCCTGTTTGCATATCGAGTAGCCTCAGCAAAGAATTACAGCGAAGGCGAGAGAATCCGCTATAGTTGTAAAAAAGGTTGGTTGATGTATGTCATGTTTGGTGAATACAGGACTATACACAATCGGGTTTTATCTTTAATGTGTTTGCGGGTACTTGGAATCGATTATGCATAATACAGGCTGGATAATATAAAGATATTGGCTGTTAAGATGCATGGTTTAAACTAAAACAACTGTTAAAAAACTTCCTAATTTGTTGTCGACGATTTCTAAGGGAATCATGTCAAAATACTTTTCACAATGCTATGGGAAATGGGCACCTTTGCGACACCACGATGACATTTTTAACTATAAAGATATAATTTTTTCCATGTTGTTTCTTTTTATGATTTTAGTCTACATATCTATAATATGAAAAAAAAAACAAAAAAGTGATTTTTGTGTCCTCTAGGATATCAGCATGTTGGCGGATCTTCATACAAATTCTGTCACATGGGATTATGGGTTGGGCATAACATTATATGTGAACGTAAGTAGAAAATAAATGATTTACCTAAAATGTCTGGGGTTGTAATGTTTGGGTTGTAATGTTTGGGTTAATTTTTCCTTACTGCGGTAATTATATATATCTTATTCTTATTTTCATCACCATTTTTTTTTTTTGTGCAAACAAGTGCGTTAATTTCCTTATCAAAACATCTACAGAATATTATTATTGGACACTTATGAATAATTATTTGTGATGCGTATTTTTTTGCAAGATCTCGCACGATATCTTTTTTGAAGATTCGTTATTAAATTCGTTTATATGACTGAATAGTATACATAATATAGAGTTTGTCCAGAACTTACTTGTGCAGGTATCTCATATAAGCACCACAGAATGCGAGTTAACATTGGCAGGTTTATTTCTGTTCTCTTTCTTTAGAAATAACACCATTAGCGGTCATTTTGGACCCCAGAGCTTTGGTTGACTACAAGCGTCAGTGTTGTATCTACGGGTGGCATTCACGCTCCGCAAACCAGTCGTGTGCGTCCTTGGTAATATCGATGTGCGAGCCGTGCAAATCCGCCTTCCTGGAGTGTTGTGCATACCAAGACGGGACCAAATACGACCTGCAGCACAGTAAGGAACCATATTGGTACCATTTATCTATTAAGAATCGGATAAGAATGCCAAGCGGCCATAAGCAGTAACGTTATAGTTGTGCTTTTTGTATCCCATTGTATCCAAAGGTTCAGGAGTCGAGTTTTCTCTATATATCGTTATACATGATATTTTAATACTTCGTATTTGAGTGTTTGATGTGTTATCTAGTGAGTATAGCATTTCATATATTATATTACATTATATTATATTATATTATATTATATTATATTATATTATATTATATTATATTATATTATAGTGCACTGTGCTCACCCCCCAAAGGTGGCGTACGCTTACGTGTCGGCCCCAGATAAGTTTTATGAACACGGAGAGAAAGTTCACTACGCTTGTTTAAAAGGTATTTTCAAAAAGGCATACATAAGATTAAAGGAACGAATATAGGGTCTGATTTTTGACAGTAGGAATAGTATTGAACAGTATTAAATAGTATTATGTTACAACATGTACATTTTCACCCAGCAAAGGTTCATACTAAGCCTTCCAAATGTCTTTTAACTTGTTCAAGTTACGAGAGATCTACAGCGAATCAAGTCTTTTTTCCGGAGACAAAAACGTTTCTAAACCGTTCCTTTTCTTTTCAAGGCTATCAGCAGACCTCCAACACTGCATACAAAGTTTGTGAAAATGGAACATGGGCGGGACAAGACATCGTTTGCGAAAGTACGTTAGTTTTTGTGTGTAAAATGCTACCCCATATTTTTGAACGTGCAATAGTTATAACGCATATTACGAGCTTAAACTATAATTATAATTATAATTAAGATTGAATTGAATAATGTAATAGAATTCGGCAATAAATATACAAAATAATGAATATATATATATATTTTTTCCTTCCAACCACACGGGTGGCCCAGGTATTACTTCCGTGATACGCCCATTTAAATGGAAATCTGCTCTGCTTTTCCCAGTGATTTTTGTATAAAATTTTTAAAATGCATGTTCAAGTTGCCCTCTCTCATGAACTAGATGGACGTGGCATTTATTCTTTGTAAATTTCTTTGACTTCTTCCAAGTTCTTTTAGATGCTTAGATAGAAATATATAGGGCAGCCATCTTATGCATGTATGTGTACATTATACAACAAACTGTATGTTATTTTTGGGTAACTTTGGCAAAATCCCTATAAAATGCAATGTAACAGAAGTGACGTCCCTCCAGACGCTACCTCTCGAGAACGCGATGGGCTATCCACCCAGCCAAAATCTCCTAGCAATACATACCTGTATATTACATTGCTTTAACTCATATGCTCTCTAAATTTAGTCTATTAATTTTATCAAAGTTGCTAGGGTCGAAATTCTGGATTTGGAAATGGATATATTTACAATATCTCTCGATTAACATTTTTGTATGAAAGTTTTTCGGCCTGTGTTTGATAATTTTCATTTATGATTCAACTACCAAGCTTATGAACATACATATATTTGCTCATTTTTGTTTTGTTTCCTCCACAGAGATTCTCCTGCCTGAAAACCCGGACGTGCATCCCGATGTACTGAAGGATTACATTCAGCAGTGCTGTCTAAAAGGGTTGAGAGCCGAGACCGAAAGTGAAAGCTGCGAGGAAATGTTTGTGGACATGTGCGAGCCCTGCAAGACCCCGTTCCTGAAGTGTTGCTTTGATAAAACCATCACAATAGATGACCCAAGTCTTTACACCGGAATTGAAGAAAACTAATAGTATACATTTTATATTATATTATTATTTATTTATTTTTATTTGTTTATTTTATTTATCATTATTATTATCATTATACCACAAGAAATATGCTACGATTTTTAAATCTGACTTACTCGGTTACGACCCTTGTCCAAACAGTTGAGTCTTCTCTTCTAATTCAACTGTGGACTCTATAAAGACATTAGAGAAGATCTTTTTAACTTTGCAATTTTTTAAGAGCATTCTAATGCATTTAATGATACTGAAAAGTTTATATTTCTCATGCAAAATGACCAGATATAATTTAGGACAGTATAATTTATAAACATACACGTAATGATGTCAAAGTCTTGTATAAAACATTCTTTTTTTACTTGTTTAAATGATCAGTAAATTATTTTAAAAACTTATGAATTTTAAATGTACTTTCACAAGTTTTGGTCTCTCATAACCCTTAGTAGGGTGGGTTTTATTTTTTAACGTGAGACGTTAATAATATCATAATAATTATTATCATTGATTGATAATAATGGCAAAGCTCCGTCTCTGTGCCTTACTATTCTGAGTTACGGAGTCAGTCAGTGACTCTTTTTTTCTGATTATGATTACTACAATTATTATTACGATAATAATAAATTGACAATAGCTACATGTATTGTAATAGAATTATACGAAGTGCTGTATTTCACGTGACTCTCTTCTGAAAAAAAAAGTGGTCCACTTACGTATACACAAGGCGGGGCAGAGAGCGCATATATCACTGCTGCAAAAACCTTCACAGGCTGCAGGGACTGTGATAAATGAGATTAAATGCATGAATTTAGAAATTTAAAATACACGAATGAATAAAACATACACGACCAGATAAATAAATTGTTGTCTAGATATTTATGAGGAGTTATAATAGCTGGAGATATGATTATTCCTTATATACTCTAACAAAATGTGTTAAAACTATCCTCTTTTCGAATACGTCTTACTCCAAATGACATCACCGATATCTCTCTTCGGACTTTTTCTGGAATCGATGAAAATCGCAGGCTTCAAAGCATCGCGACCAGACGTAGCGACGTGGGGCTAGTTATGAAGTTTTCACCCAGTAGCTGGAGAATGGGTTATTGTCTCAATGGCTTTGGAGAGACAATTTCTTTGTAATACAATTGATACTGCTAAAATATTCAGAAGAATTATTATCATCATCACTATTTTATTCTTTATTTTATTTTTGTTTTTATTTTTATTCATATTTCCCTTCTTTTTCTTGTTAAAAGGGCAATAAGGGTATTTTATGCCATATGATATTCTAAAACTGCAAAACAAGGCTTGTCTGGAGTGAAAGTTGCTTCCTCAGGGATGACCACTCTGTCCGAAGCTGTGTCCATCACCCCGGGCCAGATGACCTGTTCATAGGATGGTCATTGAAAATAAAGTACACATCAAAAGCCAATTGCTTATCTTAAGACTAATAATACACTTATCAAATGCATGGTCCCTTTACCGAATTTTGTCGCACCAAAATATACCTGCAGAATTTAACTGTCAAAAATGCCAATGGACTTAATACACCTCTTACTTTTTTACAATTTACATTATAAAAACACTTTTTGTTACCAGTGGAAGGTGATAATTTTCTTACGTGTATCATTAAATTATCTCATAATTTCAAAAATGCACTGAATACTTTGGCTCAATTTTAATGGTTGTCTTAATTAGTTCAAGGTAAGGGTTTGTTATGGCTTTGTATTATTCTCTTAGATTCAATTACTATTAGAAAATAATAAATAAAGAATGATACTAAAAGACTAATACGAATATATTCATCACAAAATATACCTATAAAAATTGCATGTTAAAATATTATTATGTTCAATTTTCTTGAAAGTACAATATACACTACTGTAATTACATGTGTCAATGACGATCAGTTTGATTTGAACAAATCGTAGTTCTCATCAGGGATTTCTCAATCGTCGGCTCATGGCGGAGTCCCTCTTTGGCTGTATTTAGTGCGCTCTTTGTAGCGCTGCACGCTTGAATGAAGCCTGAATTCCTTTTGGAGCACTGAGGTGTTTAAGTATCGGGGTTTTGGTTGTGCAGGATGTATACTCGTAGCTCGCTATGGATATTGTCAAGATATCAGTGTTTATATAATTTACGGGGGGGGGGGATACAATACAAAGGAGAAATATGGACGAGATATACCAAATTGAATAAATTTCCTTCATCATTTATATACTGTAATATATATATTTTATCTTTTACTTGATTAAATCAAGGGATTATTCCACGATGAAGTAGGGCTCTATAGATACGACGGTCTTGCTATCCTGAGAAACAACACAACGTCACACGCCAACAAGATAGTCAAGGATTTAACTTCAACCATGAAACAGTTCGGATTATAGGTCACAACCACCATCTCGCGTAACTGCTAATGTAATGATATGTCCGTCATTAACATTTCGTTCCTTCATAGACATATATTTGAATGAATAAAGACAAATCGTTTTATAACAAATAAAACCGCTACAGTGTACCTTTGTGTGTGTCGGACAAAAGAAAGTAGCTTTAAAAACTTGTAACGGACAGCACGTTACACTTTTTATAGGTCTAATACTTTTATAGATCTATATATTATTAGGCTATTAAAGTTATCGTTGGCTTTTTTGGGTCCTCTGGTCCTTCCTCCCTAGGCTGTGCCTCTGTCTCTGTACCTCTATCTTTTTCTTTTCAACACAAACATGAGTTGGAAAAGGTGCAATTGACCAAATCAGGAAGCCAATTATAACTTGCTCTGGTAACGAGGGATTGTCATCGTTTTCTGCCAGAACATTCACCTCAAAATTCTCAAAGCGCTTCGCGGAGAACTGTGGCGAATGCGATAGCTGTGACAGCGTCACCGCTCGCCACATTCACCAGACATCTCTCAGATGCAATGGACACCATTGGTGCCTCAGACGACACCAAAATCACTGACAACCCAGAGTGGTTCGCTGTGGTTGTTGTAAAATGATCCTGGCGAGTTAATGTACTTGTTTAATTCAAGCGAATGTCTTACTTATTACATGTAGTAACAATGTAACCACGGAAACCGACCACTATATCTCACACTTATTACCTCCGCCAAGGAGGTTATGTTTTCACCCCTGTTTGTTTGTCTTTCTGTCTGTCTGTCTCAAAAAGTTATGGACCCATTTTAGTGAAATTTTCAGGAACTGTCAGAAGTGGGCCAAGGAACAGATGATTAGTTTTTGGTGGTGATCCGGATCAATAATCAATCAATTATCAAAAATATCTAAAATTTAGGGGTGAAACGGCATTGGATGGAGACTTTGCTGCCTTGGCGGAGGTCTGCGCTCTCTGAATGCTTTTTAGTAATTGTAAACATCTGAGAAGAGATGGTGATAAAGTTTGTCCGTCCTGTGAGCAGAGGCGCGTTGGGTAGTGAATTAAATATCAAAAAATGGAAGTTTTTATATTGAAGACACAGAAATATTTTTTTGGTCAAATGAAATGCATTCATTACGTATGGGCATTCCTGTATATTATTCCCGAGCGATATTTCTACATAGTAATATGCACTAAATTACATTTAGCATCCTGATCGCATTTCGGGCCAAAATATGGTTTCAACTGATCACAGCCAACACTGTGACACTGATGATAAACAGTTATCAGGAAAAAACAGAAACGTCTGTGGTCTGTTGAGTTCCAGGGATAAGGTGCGGCATTGTGAAAATACTTTAGAATTCAGCAAAATCCGGGGTTAAGGTTCAAATCTGTAACTTAACTCCAGAATCAAGTATAATTGCGCCCTCGTTTAGACTAACGGTTCATCTTGTTACAAACGCCAGACGCGACTAGTACTGTGTGCAGTAAATTTATCAGGTGCCATGTTCCGCATCAAACTTTTATTGGTATCGTTTTGTCTGTGGATTACAGCAAACGGGCACGTCATTCAGCGGTAAGTTCTGACGTTAAAGCTGGATTTTTCTCCAAAATTATGAAAAGTTACAATACACATAGGTTGAATTTTGTAAGAGCTGAGTTGTTTAAGTATCGGGCTTTTGGTTATGCAGGATGTAAACACTTAGCGCGCTATGGCTATTATCAAGATATCAGTGTTTATGGTATTTATAATATATAATTATATAATACAAATGAGAAATATGGACGAGATATGCCAAATTGAATAAATTTCCTTCTACATTTATATTCTTATCGGACCGTACCCAAACGGAAAATTCTGCCGGTCCCCATGCCTTGTCTAATATAACGGGTACTGTATGTACCTTCAATGTGTTTTCTAATTGATATATCTGAGATATAATTAACCGATTTCAAATCACATTACAACCTATATCATATTTTTTAAATGGGATGTAATATACCGCAGTGATTTAGAGAAATTACTGAAATTACCGACTGAATGATCTATCTATTCATTAATTTATTTTGCTATATAAAGGTTTTTTCGCACATTGTACCGGTATTCCTTAAATATTGGGATTTTCTAGGCGTCAAGCAGGTAATGGGTCCTCGTCACAACCACAATGTTCCCTCGTGGACCGACTGTTAGACGTCTTACAAAACGACCTAAGCAGGCTGGAGGGGAAATACGACGACCTCTTGGAGAAATATCACAGAATTGTGGAGACCACGTCCAATTTGCAGATTAGTTTTGCAAAGTTATCTTTGGACAAGGAAAATGGTATGTTGTTGATGACGATATTATAAAAAAACTATAGCAATAAGACATAAGTCTACTACAAAGAACGGCTGAGAAAAGTTGCAACCGTTATTCAATCACAAAGTGAGTAATACCGTACAAATACATGTATATATGTATTTTTATAAGACTCATTTGTGAAAATGAAGATGTCAGATTGGCATTGTATGAGTATGTATGAGTATAAAAACATTATGTGACAAAACAGCATCACATGTACTTACTCAGTGAAAAGATCGATACGCGGAAAGGGATATTTCGGGATACATGCATTCATGACGGGTCAAGAGGGGCAGGCACGTACTCCCCCCC